CACACACACACACACAGAGCACACAGAGCGCACTTTTTTTTCGAAAACAAAAACCAAAATTGTTCGAAAGCCAGATTGCGTCTAGGCCGAGGTGAGCGAGCGTACGTCCATGGGCGAGAGCCTCTTGGGCGGGGTCAATTTGCACTGGGATTCAGCCACGAGTGTATCGGCCGTGGTGGGCGTTTGGGCGCGTTGCACTGGTGGTGGAGGTGGGGGAAAAGCATAGTACGCTTCCGACGAGCTTCGACTTCGACCGTAGGCGTAGCTGTACGGATGCGCATACTCTCTCCATCTCGGCGATGGGGATAGGGGTGGAGGCGAATGAAGCGGCCGAACGGATCGATCATTGCGCTCGTACGACCTCGCCAGGCTGCGTTGGTTGGCGTGCCATTCGGCAGTAAGACTTCCCCTCACCTGTCGGATATCCTCTCTTGCCGCCTCGTGCGTGCTGAGCGTCTGGCTTCTCGACCGGATCGAGAAGCTTTCCTTCTGACTTGAAACCAGCGCAGGTGTCAACCTCTCCATGCCCCTCGATAGCGTGTCGAGATGCGTCGCACTTCCCAGTCCCGTATACGTCGGTGCAGCATACTCTGCACGGGGAACATCGATCCTCAGTGCGCTCCTCGCCTGTTCCCTCGGACTCGTCTTGGACGTCGGGTTGAGTGCGATTCGGATCGTGTGTCTCCTCCACGCTCTTGTCCGCTCATCCTCTCCATCCCACCCGAAGCGTCCCTTGCCCGTGGCGCGCATCTGCGCATGCATCTCCTCGAGCGACACTGGTCCATACACCGCGCGCGCCTGAACCGCCTCGATCATCCGCTTCTTCCCCACCTGCCGTCGGTTCTGGAACCAAACCTGCACTTTCCGCGCGGAAACACCGAGCTCTTGTGCCGCCGCTTCGCGCAGCTGCGTCGACGGAAAGTGCGTCTTTTCCAGAATCTTGTATAGCACTTTACTCTGCTCGAGCGAGAGCAGCCTTCGGCTTCGCTGCGGTTGGTCACCCGTTTTGGCGTCGCCAAGGCTGTCCGACCACTCGTCGCTCTCGAGCATGTCTTCGTCGCTCAGCGACACGGAGGCGGGGGGTGGCGGGATGGATTGCATGGGCGGCAGTCGGGTGGTGGGAATCGACATGGTGTGCGGACGTCCAAAGTGCTGCGACGGTGCGATGGCGAATTGAAGCATCTTGAACGCGCGGGATATATACGATCCTTCAGCCCCAGCAAAGCAGAGCAAAGCAGAGCAAAGTCGATCCAGCCAGAGTAGAGGTGGGAGCAAGACGCCCGTGCGTGGGAAATCCTGATCGTCGTGTAGCGAGATCGTCTGGCTCCCACGCAGCAAGGAGTGTCGCGAACCGTGCGGTGCAATTGAACGAACGACGCGAGGCGATCCAAGCGCTGTATTACGCGAGCGATCCGAGTTCTGGACCTCGTCACCACTTCACTTTTGTGTGATACGCAGTCTGCTGTGGCGACACTTATGCTATCCGACCGAGTTTGCGAGAGAGAGAGAGAGAGAGAGAGGAGAGGG